TGCAGCGGAGGGCAGAGCTGGCCCTGCCATGCCAAACCGGCGTGACCCAGTCGCTCTGAGGATTAAATTGCTTGCCCAATGGTTAAATCACTCTCCCAAGCCAGAGAGCCTGGGGACCTGGTTTCTCCCCAGGGCTGTGGTCCTGCTGTAGGGCTTCTGTCTCCCTTCCCGAGTTCCCTTCCTCTGGATCTTCCTCCCTTGCAGCTGGGAATAACAGGAAAAACCAGTGTTTTGAGCTATCTGAAGGGGCAGAGGCAGCTGCTAAGACAGACCAAGGAACACAGATGCTCCAGGACACCAGACACTGAAGGGCAGACATCCTGTCCTTAAAATACTCTGGCTTCCAGCGAGAATTTATAGGGGTGCCATGAGATGGTGGGAGAGCAGACAGAAAGACAACCCGAGGAGGTCCTCCTCCCCAGCTCCGCTGCCGGCAGGCAGGGGCAGACGCACTATATTGGGTTCTCCTGAAAGCCCCACCAGCAGCTGCAGCAGCACGTGCTCTGGGGCTGCCTCCGGCCGGCCTCTCCTCCCCTCTGCCCATGAGGGCGGTGGAGCCACTAGCTGGTTATTTTTGCCGAAGCCCAAATTCTTGCTTTCGTCCTCGGGTCCGTTTGGGGTAATGGCTGGCTGCTGGTAAAGGCTGAGCGTAACCTTTCCAGCAACAAGAGCTGAAATGCCCTGCTTGGCAAGAGCAGCTCGGTGCCCATTTATAAACCTCTATTGTCCCTGTTCTCTCTTCTTTTCAGCCTTAATGTCAATGTTACCTAGAAACAGCCCTTCGCTCTTACCCGGGACCAACTGGCAGGCTGGGAACTTCACGGGCGGCTTTTTCTCCCCCATGAAAGCTGTGCTGTGACTGCAAACTAGTTCATGGGGACCAGTTGTCCTGGACGGTGCTGGCAGCCCCCAGCCGCCTCACTGCTCGGAGCCTTGCTGCATCTGGGATGGCCCAGAGGGGAAGCAGGGCAGCGGCACCCAGGGCAGAGTGGGGGGTGCCCAAGCCCACCACGCCCCCAACCGGGCTG